TGTTGGCCAGGCTGGTCTCGAACTCCTGGCCTGATGTGATCCACCTACCTCGGCCTCCTAAAGTGCTGAGATTGCAGGTGTGAGCCACCACGCCCGGCCTCTTTCTCCTTTTTATAAAGGCATGAACCCCATCATGGGGGCTCCACCCTCATGACTTAATGGCCCCACTTCCAAATATCATCACATTAGTGTTTAAGACATCAACACATGAACTTTGAGGGGGACACAAACACTGAGGCCGTAACACTCTTCCTACCCCCAACTCTCACCCCACAGCATGTGATAAACGGCACGGACTCAGGGAGGCAGAGGTGGGGAAACATCGGCTCATCAACATTTATAGGTGATCATGGTTAGGCTTTGTGTCCCCACCCACATCTCATCTTGAGTTGTGATCCCCAGGTGTTTAGGGAGCCACCTGGTGGGAAGTGATTGGATCATGAGGGTGGTGTCCGCCATGCTGTTCTCGTGATAGTGAGTTCTCTCGAGACCTGATGGTTCTGAAGAGATCAGCTTTCCCTGCTCTTACACGCTCCTCTCTCCTGCTGCCTTGTGAAGGAGGTGCCTGCCTCCCCGTCCACCATGATTGTAAGTTTCCTGAGGCCTCCCCAGCCATATGGAACTGTAAGTCAATTAAACCTCCTTTATTTATAAATTACCCCTTCTCTGGCATTTCTTTATAGCACTGTGAGAAAGGACTCATCTCAGAGGGGATAAAAATAAACCTCAGGCCAGAAGCGGTGACTCATGCCTGTAATCCCAGCACTTTGGGAGGCTGAGGCGGACAGATCACGAGGTCAAGAAATTGAGACCATGGTGAAACCCCGTCTCTACTAAAAAATACAAAAATTAGCTGGGCATGGTGGCACATGTCTGTGGTCCCAGCTTCTCGGGAGGCTGAGGCAGGAGAATTGCTTGAACCTGGGAGGCGGAGGTTGCAGTGAGCCGAGATCGCGCCACTGCACTTCAGCCTGGCACCTGGTGACAGAGCAAGACTCTGTTTCAAAACAAAACAAAACAAAACAAAACAAACCTCAGGCTATGTCTCCAACAAAGTGCCCCCACTATACAACTAAGCCCCTTTGCTGAACCTGACATTACGCTATAGTTACTGGGGATGTAAGACTTTCCCTGTCCTCTCTGAACATGTAGTCCAATGGGCAGGATGCTGGCGGCAAAAAGAGTCAACCAAGGAAGGCTTCCTGGAGGCAGCATATGTGGGCGTTAGAGCAGATTTGAGTTTGGATCTTGGCTCGGTTTCGTATTGACTGTGTGGCCTTAGACGAGTGCTACCTCCTGGGGGTCTATGTCCTCAGCTGAATGAATGGGCTTTTGAGGCCTTCCTTAAGGGCTGGCTGTGAGCACCGGGGGGCCGCAGGTGTGAGCGGTTTCTGGTGTGTCTCCAGGCCCTGCCGCTGCTTCTACAGGCATTATCTCTGGGAATCCTCAAAATTAACTAGAAAGGGAGGCCTATGAGATGAAGCCTCAGAGCTGGAGTGCTTATAGCCTGGGGGTGGGGGAAGGAGGACTGAGCGAGACCCTGGGGAGGGCTGAGACTGGGGCTGTGGCTGAGCCATGAGCTGAGGCTTGGGCTAGAGCTGGGGCTGGGGGAAGGAGGACCGAAGGGGTCCTGGGAGGGCTGAGGCTGGGGCTTGAGGTTGTGTTTCAGTCCAAGCTGGCGTGAACTGTTTCTAAACCTGGGCTCAGGAAGAGACCGCAGCCATTGCTGGGGCCAGAGCCATGAGGGGCCAGTGGGCACAGTTCTGTTGCCTTTTCAGAGTGGAACTGGCCTCCCTGACACCAACATGTTCTGTGCGGCCCCCCAGTTGGCTTCGACCCTGTGAAAGCCCTGTATACACACACAGCCAGCAGCTTCCCTGTGGTGCCCTGGGGGTAATGGAGCCTCTGAAACATGCCTTCTAGAGGGCCCAATACCTACCTTATTTTTGAGACAGGGTCTTGCTGTGTTGCTCAGGCTCAAAAGATCCTCCTGCCTCAACCTCCTGAGTAGCTGGGACCACAGGCACACACCACCATGCCTGGCTAGTTTTTCAATCTTTTGTTGAGACAGGGTCTTGCCATGTTGGTCAGACTGGTCTTGAACTCTTGGGCTCAAGTGATCTGCCACGTCAGCCTCCCACAGTGCTGGGAATACAGGCGTGAGCCACCAGGGCCGGCCTCAGTGCCTGCTTTCTTTAGACTCCAAAGACTCCTGTGTGTTTGTGCAGGAGGCCATGGGGGTGGTAGGGTGGTCACGGGAGGATGGGGTCTGGGCTTTGGTCTCCACAGTCCTAGTGCCCTGAGGGGTGATACTCAGCCACTGAACTAGGGCGTTCCCCATCTGCTGGGGGAGATGGCCTTGATCTTAGGGAGCTCCCAGGCTGCTGGAGGATGCATAGCTCCAGTCGCCAAGTTTGATGGGGAAGCCACAAGTCTGCAGGGAGCCCTGGCTCTGTTCTCCCATTTGGGCAAGATCTAGTTTCTGCCCAGGAGGCAACTCCAGTCTACTGGGGGAGATATTTCCCTGTCCTCAGAGGATTCTCCAATCCGAGGGTGGAGATCTCCGGGCTGAAGGGGGAGATCAACCTCGTGCCCTTGGTGAGCCCCCAGTCCGAATGGGAGACAGGTCCCCCCAGCCGTGAAAGAGACCCAATAATAAGACACGAAGCAGAAACATTTTAACAATGCAGACCTAATTACGGCATTGCCAGCCACTCTGAACTCCTCATTTACACATTCCTGGCGAAATGGCAAGTAGCAAGAATGTGTAAATTGAGGAAAATTAATATAATTACCTGAGCTATTTCTTGTCAGCTCTTCATCTCCACAGAAACCACAAAACCCTTTCTGGGGAGTGGCCGTCATTCTGGGGTCTCTGCCTGAGGCAGAAAACCGAGGCTCCTCGTCTGCATGGTGGGCTCTTCCAGGTGCCTGGTGTGTGAGTTCTGTGAGTTCTGGCTCTGTCACCGGTTTGCGGGGTGATCCTCTGTGAGCCCCAGTCCCGTCCAGATGTGCCGCACCTTCACTGGGTCCTGGCACTGTGATGCGTGCGTTCTCCCTTCCATCTCGGGAGGCGTCACAACCACGTGCAGGGGGAGGTGCTATTATTACCCCCACCTTACAGAGGAGACGGAGGTCAGGTAGGTGAAGTCACTTGCCCTGGGACACACAGCACAGAAGCAGACCCGGGGCTGTGGACTCAATGCCGTGCCTCTAACCTTGTACCACCTGCTGCTCCTATCCTTGGCCAGAAAACAAAGCCCATTTCCCAGCACCCCCAAACCCTCTACCACCTGGCTGCCGGAGGACCCCATGTGAGAACAGGTGACGTGTCAATACAAACTGCAGGATGCTTGCAAACCCTGGGCCTCAGTTTCCTCTTCAGAACATGGGGCTATTCACAGCATTGACTGCATGGGCTGTTTCAAGGATGAAATGAGCGTATTCAGGTAAGGTACTCAGCTTGCAGCCTCCAGTGAGCCCTCGTTAACTTACTTATCACCGTCTCGTGCAGGCCTGCCAGGTGTCTGCCTGTATTCCCAGAGGCCCCTCTTTGGAGGGTCACACACCTAGGCACAGGCATCTTGCTGAGTTCTCAGCACGTTCCTTTTTTAGACTTATTTATTTTTTTATTGACAGTCTCACTCTGTCCCCCAGGCTGGAATGCAGTGGCGTGATCTTGGCCCACTGCAACCTCCGCCTCCCGGGTTCAAGCGATTCTCCTGCCTCAGCCTCCTAAGTAGATGGGACTACAGGTGCCTGCCACCAAGCCCGGCTAGCTTTTGTATTTTTAGTCGAGTCGGGGTTTCACCATATTGGCCAGGCTGGTCTCAAACTCCTGACCTCAAGTGATTCACCTGCCTCGACCTCCCAAAGTGCTGGGATTACAGGTGTGAGCCATTGCACCCGGCCGCCCTTTGCACATTCTTAAGAGTGGCCCAGCTCCCTGTAAGCTAGCTGGAGAGCCCCGCTGTCTGTATAGAAACGTCTATTCATTCTGCTGGTTTAGGGCATACAAACGCTGGTACCACTCACCAAGCATTTTTAGAAAATGAGGACACTCCAGTAGTCAGTGTACTATGAAATAGACATCCCATCACGGCCCATACAGCAGTCCAGAGAGTGGCTGGTGCGAATTTGCAGAAAACCCAGTTGGGTTTGGGCAAGTGTTACCTATTCACTCAGCAAGTGTCTCCTGCTGGCCGCTATGTGCTGGGCTCTGGGCTGGGCTCTGGGACCAGGGCAGTGGACGGGCAGACACAGCCCTACCGTCCTGGAGCTGAGCCTCTAGCTTCATGGGTAAGACAGGCTTGAAAAGAGAAAGTTTGGTTGGGTGCAGTGGCTCACAGCTGTAATCGCAGCACTTTGGGAGGCTGAGGCAGGAGGATCGCTTGATCCCAGGAATTTGAGACCAACCTGGGCCAACATAGGGAGACCCTTGTCTTTCTAAAAAATTTAAAAATTAGCTGGGAGTGCTGGCACATGCCTGTGGTGCAGCTGCTTGGGAGGCTGAAGTAGGAGGATCAGTGGGGCCTGGGAGGTTAAGACTGCAATGAGTCGTGATCATGCTGCTGCACTCCAGTCTGGGGACAGAGTCAAACCCTGTGAGAAAGAGAGAAAGAGAGAGAGAGAGAAGGAAGGAAGGAGAGAGAGAAAGGAAGGAAAGAAGAAAGAAGGAAGGAAGGAAGGGAAGGAAAATGAAAGTCCAGGGAAGAGAATGCTGGTGGTTTGGGGCCTCACCGATGCGGAGTCTCTCGCTTGGCTTCACTCCTGGGGCTCTACCCTTGCTGGCCTCAGTTTCCCCCTCTGTAACATGGTGGTAACAGGACTTATCCTGGGCTACTGCTGGGACTAGAGGAAGTGATGTGTACACAGTGCTCAGCACAGGGCCTGGTGAAGGGGAAGACGCCATCAGAGGCAACTATTTTTAATGATAATAACATTCATGGTGGGCCTGACCTATTGTGAGTGCATAGTTGTGTGTGTGTGGGGCTGACACAATGGGACCAAGCCTGGGGCTGGGGACCATCCTCTGCAGGGACCCTATCTGGAAGGTGGGGGATCCAGGTGCTCAGCTGCCGGGGAATTGGGCACCATTGTAAGGCTGGACTCTGTTTTCAGACCCAGGGCTGGTGCTTGTGGCTTCAGGAACTGGGGTGTTGAGGGAGCACTGTGGCCCAGGGTGGCCAGGGATTCCTCAGCTCCCTTCCGGAAGCTGTTGTGAGTTCTTTCTGGTCTGAACCTAACTCTAACGAGGAGGTACAATTTTCTTCTCTTGATATTTCTGCTAATTGGGCGACCAGGCATTTTTTTCTTTGGCAAATTCAGGGCCGTGCATTCATTTTACTTATTTATCTTTTTTTGTTTTGCTTCATTTTTCCTTTCTAAGGACCATGCATTTACAGACTGTTTTGCATATACCAGAGGGCCTATCTACATCCTTTTTGCATGTTTCTCTGGGTGTGAGGTTCAAGAGGCCCAAACTCAAAGTGTGTAAAACAAAGTAAGTGTGTTCAGTCCCCCTGCTTAGCTGGCCTGAACCACGCAGGCAGGGATGGAGGAGCTCTGAGGGGCAGGTGGTCCCCAAAGGATGGTGAGAGCAGGGACGGACCATGGGGTCAACTCTTTCTAGTGTAGCTCTGGACCAGGGGAAAAGGGGAGCCTTGGGCACTTGGGTGCAAAGGAGCTAAAGAAGCTGAGAGGAAACCACACCACAGACATCTTCAGCTGCACAGCACAGACCTCGGAACTGCAGACAGGAGTAGACGGGGTGTGGTGGCACCTGTTCTAATAGGCCCTGATTGCTCAGCAGGCACTGCACGAGACTCTTCAAGAATGTTAGTGTAAGAGTTAAAGAAAGAGGAAAGAAACACAAAACGCAGCTCAACAGCCAAAGACAGGTTTATTTTGGAGAATAAACCTGAGATGGGCTTCTGGCCGATTTTGGTCAGGAGTGTTCTGTCTTACAGACTAAAGATATTTAAGGGTTTAGGAAGTGGGGAGCTTATCTCAGGCTTGGAATGTTTCGACGTGAGGGAAAGTTTATTGAGGGGTTGGAATGTCTCTGGTTGGAGGGGAGGCTACCTCACGGTTAGCAGGTTTCTGGTTGGAGGGGGGTTTATCTTAGAGTTAGAATGTTTCTGGTTATGTTGACAGTAGCCATTAGGCTGATGTTTTGTGGTTGGATTTAGGCAGTTTTTAAATCCAGGAGAACTTAGAACAGTGGTGTTTATCCAACATGGTGATGCTCCTGTGCGGTCAGCTCAGCTGTTGTCTCCTCAGAGACTTAGATGTATGCTGCTTTCAAATCCATTGTAGAGGTGAGCAAACTGAGGTTCCGAGACACAAAGTGACCTATCCAAGGCCACGTGGCTGGTCTTTGGAGACCCTAGACTCAAACAGGTAGATTTGGTTCCAGAACTTTTCTGTCTTGATTTAGGAGAGTAAGAAACCCAACCTCCGGCAGCCCCAGGAGCCATGGGTTCTATGGCCGCTGTGCCCTCCTCGGAGCCTCCTGACTCTCCCTTCTCTCCCAGAGAAAGGACTTCTCTTCTGTTTCACTGGATTGCCTGAGGTACGAGCAAGGCAGGAACAGTAGGAGCCCCTGAGCCTCCAGGTTTCCACGGCAGTGTGGCAGGGTGGTGGGGCAGTTCCTTGTGAGAGCATCCTGTGTTCTTTGAGAGATGCTGTTTCTCTTGAGGGAAGGAACTTCAGCCCCAGCCCCCAGCACAAGGCCTGGCCCCAAGCAGGACCTCCATAGGGTGCTTCTTGATGTGCTCAACCCTCCCAGGGTGAGTAGAAGGTGGTGGAAGACTCTTTGCCACTCCCACCATTGAGCAGTGGGGTTTGTTTTCCTTCCCCTTGAATCTGAGTTGGTCTTTGCTTGAACTGTGGAATATGATGGAATATAATCTGCCTTGCTCGTACCTGAGGCAATCCAGTGAAACAGAAGTGCCGTGCCAATTCTGGGCCTGGCAGCTTCTGCCTTTATGCTTTTCGGAGCCCTGATCCCAAAAGAAGTCTAGGTACCCTGATGTAGAAATTGTGTGGACAGACTCATGGAGACACAGAGAACCCAAGAGAGAGGCCTGGCACCCCCAGCTGGCCCTGCCCAGGCAGCATAGACATGGGGGAGTCATCTCGGATGCTGCTGCCTGGTCAAGTGTTCAGACGCCATCGTCTGGCAGGAGAACTGCCCAGCTGAGCACAGAATCATGAGAGATCATCACGAAGGCTGCTGTTTTAAGATGCTTAGTTTTGGGGTGATCTCCTATTCTGGTAGTAAAGCATCCTTTTGAAATTCTCCCTCACCTGCTCACTTGGTGGGGCTGCCAATTAAAAAAATTGCCCTATCCTGACCAGGCACAGTGGCTCACACCTGTAATCCCAGCACTTTGGGAGGCCAAGGCAGGTGGATCACCTGAGGTCAGGAGTTTGAGACCAGCCTGATCAACATGAAGAAACCACATCTCTAATTAAAATACAAAATTAGCTGGGCATGGTGGCTCATGCCGGTAATCCCAGGTACTAGGGAGGCTGAGGCAGGAGAATCACTTGAACCCGGGAGGTGGAGGTTGTGGTGAGCCAAGATCATGCCAGTGCACTCCAGCCTGGGCAACAAAACTCCATCTCAAACAAACAAAAAAGGCCGGGTGCGGTGGCTCACACCTGTAATCCCAGCACTTTGGGAGGCCGAGGCAGGTGGATCACGAGGTCAAGAGATCAAGACTATCCTGGCCAACATGGTGAAACCCTGTCTCTGCTAAAAATACAAAAAAATTAGCCCCGCGTGGTGGCATGTGCCTGTGGTCCCAGTTACTCGGGAGGCTGAGGCAGAAGAATCACTTGAACCCAGGAGGTGGAGGTTGCAGTGAGCCAAGATTGCGGCACTGCACTCCAGCCTGGTGACAGAGCAAGACTATCTAAAAAAAAAAAAACCCCAAAACACCCTATCCCTTCCCCCACAGGAGTGGATGCGGGATCCAGGCCTGATCAGTAGAATGACTCATCCCTGGCAATAGTGATTGGTCCAGAGATGGGCATGTGACCCAAGATGAACCAGTCAGAGCCCTTCCCTGGCTTTTACATATTGATGCTGGGTGAGCGAAGCTCTCAGATTTTTCTGGGATTGCTAAATCGGGCTGATGTAAACCCTGAATCGGTGTGCTTACGTCCCCCACTTCCATTCCCACCCCCGCTCAGTATGGAGCAGTCCGGGCCACATGAGAAGGAAGGAGGCCAAGACAGGGACAGAGCAGTGGTGGTGACATCTCTGGGTTCTTTGCGTTTCTGGGCCAGTTCTCCCTCTGGACTTTCCAGTTTCATGAGCCAATGAATGTTCTTTTTTCTTTAAGTTAGTTTGAGTTGATTTCTGTCACTGCAACTGATGGGATCCATTTCATGCCAATTCTGTTTCTTCGCCTTATCTAACTAGAAATAGCACGGGCTGCGCTGTTCTCTGTCTCAGAGGCTCAGTTCTCACGGGAAAGGAAAGGAAATGTACACGTGCTCTGTCATAAAGTCCCCAGAGCTGGGTGCTTTCCTCGTACCAACACCACTGCCTTCCTGGGAGGTGTCTCCTGACTGTTTTTCAGGGTAGGATGGCAGCAGGTCAGAAGCTGAGGGGTAGAGACTGATTGAGGTGAAATCTACGGTTCGGGACGCCCCCCGATTCCTTGTCAAAGTGCGGTGGCCCTGCTCCGGGACAGAATGAAGCAGAGACTGGGCGGGTGACAAGAGGGGCGGAAAGGGAATGCCATTAATGTTTCCAGTTCTAAATCAGTTTAATGGGAGCCTCCGACGACTCTGATTTGATTTTTCATTTTCAGTATTACAATTATCTGCCTGATATTACCGGCAGCTCAAGCTTGAAATGGGACGACATGGCAGAGGCTGTCAGAAAGGGAATAGGACCAGATTACACCAATTATTGAATATTTTGCTAATTGGACACCCAACGCATCGCTCTCATTTACGGCAAGGGAAACAAATGCTTAGCACTACCATTGTTATTCTTCCTCGTCGAGCAGCAGTTGTCACCCAAGCTCTCCTTGGATTTTACATCCCAAGGAGAACTTCCGTTTCAGGATCCTTCATCCCCAGAATACTGCAGTGTTTAGAATCAGAGAACCCCTGACGTCTACCCTTAGGTCTTCCTGCTTCTGTCTGAGGAGATGGAATGCAGATGTCTCCAGTGAGCTCTGCCTCATGGGACGACACCGTGCCAGGATACGGGATGCGTGGTGACAAATTTCAGGTACCCCAAACCAAAGACCAGGTGGCTCAGAGGAGACTCTGGAAGGAATAAGGCTGGGTGGTCTTCAGGGTCAGAAACCTTCCTTCTCTTTTACAGATGGGGAAACCGAGGCTCAGAGAGGGCTACAACTTGGTTAAGGTGCCACAGATGGTTGTGACCGACCTATGCCTGAACTGCAGCTCTTCTGACCCCTAAGCTGACAGTTTTTCTACCCACTGTGAGTGGCCAATGTGACCTCAAGGTTGTTTAAATCTTCCCTGCAACTGACCATGTTGGTAAGTCTGGCTCAGAGAGGAAACAGAATTATCCAACGTGTACAGGCACTGTCTCTACCCTGGCTCTACCTGTTATCTGCAGGCCCACACACTTCTTAGCACATACATTGGCTTTTCTCTGGGGTTGGAAGGCCTGGATTCAAAGCCTGCGACTGCTACTTACCAGCTGCATGACCTTGGCCAAGGCTGTCAACCTTCTGAACCCCAAAAGGAACAGAGCAGCATGAGAGGCTCACGAAAACCAGGCTTGAATGGGTTAGCTAAAAGAGTCACTTTCCAACCTGGAAGCCCCAGGTTCAGAGAGAGGCTTCCGTTATTTTACTTCAGTGATAAAACCAACTGCTATGATGTACCAAGGGCCCACTATATACTCCAGGCATGTGCCAAATGCTTTATGTGTGTTTTCTTACTTAACTAGTAAAGTGCTGGGAGGCAGGACTGTTATGCTCATTCTACAGCTGAGAAAACGGAGGCTGTCAGAAACCAGGTGACTAGGCACCCGTGGCACATGGCAAAGCCAATACTGGAGCCCAGCTTGCTTCCAGAAACCATTAGGACAAGATGGATTCCCTGTGCCCTTCGCCCTGCCCAGGATGAAATGCTTCTGGGCTGGGGGGACTGCGTGCCCTGGCGACAGTGCTGGCAAAGCCCATTCGCCGCTGCCTAGCTCCTGGTCCTCAGAGCTCAGCCCTCAGGACACTCGCTCCTGGAAACATGGTCAGCTCTGCTCTGATGAACTTCATTATCTTTATCAAATTAATTTACGCAAGCCAGTGTGGCCACCTAATGAAGACATTCCGCAGGGCCCTATGCAGGCTGGTTAATGAGGCAGGAGTGGCTGGACTCAGGTTCCAAGTGTCCTGGGGTGAAGAGGAGAGCAGAGCTGTCAGCGTGACTGTCACTGCTGTGGGGTTCCCACTCTGCCGCGGTCCAGGGCTGTGACTGATCACCGCTGGTCATTCCCTCCGTCCCCCTGCCAGGGCCCTCACTGCACCATGTGCCAGTTGATCACTCCAGGACTTCTTGAGCAGGCAGATGTGCTGCAACCTGCAGTTCCTGGGAGGCCGTCCTTTATTCTAGCGCAGATAGATTCCTTGCTCCAAGCTCCTCCTTGTTAATTTTGTAAGTGACTGAGCTACGACTTTCTTTTGTGCCTGCTAATGGCTCAGCCCTGCGGCAGAATGCCCCCAATTTGGTAAATGAACTTCTTTTCTTTCTGCAAATGAGATTTTTAAGATGTGAAGAAAAGACAGGGGCGACCGAAAGCTGAGAGGCCAATGCAGAATGGCAGGGGCTCCACCTGAGCGAGGGTGGCTGTCATTACGGGGAGGAAGACGGGGAGCCGCTGGAGAGCCTGCTCCTTAGGAGAAGTGGAGGATGGGGTGCAGGCAGCCTCATTTCTTGTTTGAGCAACTGGACAGAGAGTGGTCAGCCTTGCCAATTCATTCATTCATTCACTCATTCATTCATTCATTCATTCACTCATTCACTCACCAAACACACATGTGAATACACACACATACGCCCACCTATTGTACGCCGGGCCCTGGGTGCCAATTACTATTCGTAAAGCCATGAACAACACAGACCAAACCCCTGTCCTCACGGACCCAACATTCTAGTAAGAATTTAAACTCCTCACTTAGAATCTTAAAATTTTGAGTCTTAGTTTCACCCAGTCTTAAAACCGGGGGCTCTTCACGGTGACTGTATTAACCTGCATTCCGTGAGCACGGACTTCATGCGTCGTCTCCTCAGTCTTTGCAGTGACCCTGTGTGGCGGAGTCTAGGGTTGTCCCCATTTTACAGATGACGCCATTGAGGCTTAAGGAGAGTCAGTTACTTTGGCCAAATTCACACAGCCCTGCAGCCAGGATTTGGCCCAGGACTGTCAGGCACCTCTACCACCCTCTACTGCCTCCCTCATCTTACAAATTGGGTTAATTTTCAACAGCCCCCCCGCCCCCCACTCCCCAGGGCTGGAAAGGACTGTCCTCCCTGCCTGCACAATCTGCTGTGGTATCTCTTGAATGAGGCCATGTGGCCCCCACCTGGTTCCACGTTCCTTCTTGTCCTGATTCTCAAGCACACAGGGCCTCGCCTCCCCGCCCAAGCCCCTTCCTCACCACGCCAGCTACTTCCGTCCCCACTCGACTGGCTGCTCCTCTTCCCTGCTCAGCCAGACTCTTGCAGCTGGCATCCCCGACTCCCCGACTCTTTGCCTTTACCCCTTCTCCCAGCCTGCTGGATCAGCTTATGTTGGTGGCAGAGCCATCCCTGGTCACAGGAAGGAGAGAATGATGATGATGGAAATAATACTCGCCAGCCCTGTGGCAGGCTTAGTACGTGCCATCCTGCCTCATCGAATCCTCCCAATGACTACCAGGTAAGTAGTGTTATTTCCATTTGACAGTGCAGGGAATGGGGCTCAGGGAAGGGAGTGTCTTGCCCAGGGCACACAGATAGTAAATGGCAGTGGGGGGAACTGAACCCAGGACTGTGGCTCCAGAGTCCACATGCATCATGACTGATGATGTGAGGTGTCTGGAAGCTGGGCTGGCCATGTGTGTCCTCCCAGGAGAACTCCGGACTCACCGATGTTCCCTAAGATGGGTCCAGGTCAGACACAGTGGCTCGTGCCTATAGTCCCAGCACTTGGGAGGCAGAGGCAAGAGGATCACTTGAGCCCAGGAGTTCGAGGCCAGCCTGGGCAACATGTCGAAACCCTGTCTCTACAAATAATTCAGAAAATTAGCTGGGCATGGTGACATGCGCCTTTAGTCCCAGCTCCTCAGGAGGCTGAGGTGGGAGGATTGCTTGAGCCCAGGAAGTTCGAGGCTGCAGTGAGCTATGGTCATGCCACTGCACTGTGGAAGGAGACTTTGATACTAGAGAGAGAAGAAAAAAAGGGAGCTGTAAACAGGTGCCTGATTTGCAGGGAAGGGAGCAGGAAGAAGGGTGGAGTGGCGTGCTGATGGAACAGCTGGCCTCTGCTCAACAGCAAAGAACTCTGGCCAGCACCTCCCTCCTGAGTGCTCAGGAGGCCAGAGGTCCCACAGTGTTACTGTAGTCTCATTCCACTGTGATTGTCCCCTCTGAAGTAGGCTTCCCTCCCAATCCATTTTTCTTTTTCTTCTTTTTTTATTGAGATGGAAACCCACTCTGTTGCCCAGGCTGGAGTGCAAAGGCACCATCCCAGCTCACTGCAACCTCCACCTCCTGAGTTCAAGCGATTCTCCTGCCTCAACCTCCTGAGTAGCTGGGATTACAGGTGTGCACCACCACGCCTGGCTAATTTTTGTATTTTGAGTAGAGAGAGCATTTCGCCATGTTGCCCAGGCTGGGCTTGAACTCTTGGCCTCAAGTGACCCACCCTCCACAGCCTCCCAAGATGCTGGGATTACAGGCGTGAGCCACCGTGCCCGGCCTTCAACCTCTTTTAAGCTAGAGGAAGGATCATCAAGGCCAGTTCTTGGCCACCTCCTTTGAAGTCCTGCTTGTGTGGTCTCATCCCTCACCTTGGAATGAGGATGAGGTTGGCATCTATTATCTTAGGTCCTCATCCAAAACAGAGGCCAAAATGGTTCCATTTCAACACCTAGTACCGCCTGCCTCGGACTCTCAAAGTGTTGAATTACAGGCACCAGCCAGCGCGCCTGGCTCGAATCTCATTTTTCCATCACTAATCAGTATTAAAATTATCATGATTTTTTAACTTGTGTTTTTTTGCCCCTTCCTCTAGAATGTAAGCTCCAGGCAGGCAAGAACTTTATCTTGTTCACTCGAAGCTGAAGCCCCAGCATGTACAATCCCGGGCTGGGTCGCTTACTCATCAGCAGAGAGGAACACGGATTCTCTTTGGAAAAGACAAACTACCCTCCCGGAGCCGCGGCACAGTCTCACTGAGGGCCTGCTCCCATTCCAGTCAAAGGGCGACAAAAAGAAAAAACGTGAGCCACCATCAGGTGAGGCCAGCCGTCCCTTCCTTCCGTCCCAGCTTTAGTGCTGCCACGGCTGCCTCCTGCTCCTCCGCTCAACCCCCACCTCCATCTGTGATGTCAGCGTGGCTGCCCCTGGGATCCTAGCCTGGTTTGCCTTTAAATTTTACAGCCTTGTTTATGCAGCTCAAGGCCCGTGTGCTAAAGACTGCACGCTCCACTGAACATTTATGGCTGCAAATGGCTCCTCCGTGCGGGCAAGGGAGGGGGCCGCATGTGCTTAGGGCGAGGAGGCCGGGATGGGGAGGCTGACGGCTCTCAGCCTCCGCTCCTCCCTCTTAGGATTTCTTCCTTGGCTGACTCCCCCAGTCTTATTCCTGATGACATTGCTCAGTTCACATTGTCCAAGCCCGTGCCTGGGCGCTGCTAGGCATGGGATAGAGGTGAACAGAGTTGGCCACTGTCTTAGGTGGCTGCAAGAGGCATGAGGATTTGGGTACAATCTGTGCTCCCAGGAGAAAGAGCAAGGGAGTAGTGGAAGCAGGGGAGGAGCTGAGGAGGTGGGAGCCACCAAGCCTGGGTGTGATTTCCAGCAAAGCCCCACAGAGAGTGTCGACAGCCTCATTTGGCAGGGCACTCTGGAGCTGGTTTCGACTTGAGGGCCTGTCAGTCATTGGCTGAGGATGAGGCTTTGGGCTATCAACTCCCACACAGCTCACCCCCCTGTAGCTGTGGGGCGGGTGATGGTAGGAGCTGCTGAAGAAGAGATGCAGGAGCAGCCGCTGGAGGGGAAGGCCAAGGTCAGCAGGAGGCTCACGGGACGGTGATGGGAAGGGAAGCAACACCTGACGGGCTTAGCTACAGGTGCTGACAGGTTCCCAGGCAGGTGGCAGAAGGCAGTTAAATAAATGAGATAATATGGCGCCCTCCCCACGACCACACACACACTGTTCACGCCTGAGTGCTCGGAGTGCGTTGAGCCTCATTCTGCATGTTGTATGTGTCCTGTGACGCCTCACGAGGATGCTCTCTGTCAGATACTGGTATTGTTATCCTCATTTTACAGGTGAGGACATGGGAGCACAGGGAGGTTATGCCACTCGCCCAAAGACAAACAGCTAATCAGTGAGAGCTGAGACTTGGACCCCAGAACCTACACTTTATAACCAGTTTCCAGTTCTGGGGGGTCAGGGAATCTTGTATGAGGAGCCCCTAGCCTGGCCTGGGTGGAGGTCAGGGAAGTCTCCCTGGAGGAAGGGGTTCCCGGCAGCAACTTGCTGGATCTGGTGTTCCCTGTTGATTATTCGATGAGCTCTGAGAAGGGGCCAGGCCCTGCTCCAGACCCTGGTTGGACAGCAGGGAACAAGGCTTGGGGAAATGGCTCCCGAGGAAATGGACATGTGTGATCCTGGGTTCCGGGGAGGCAGGGAGGGAGGACGAGTAGCAGGGGCAGCGCGAGGGTCTTCCTGGAGCCACAAGGAGATGGGAGGGACGCGAAGGCCTGGGGTACTTCGGGGCCCGAGCCTGTGGCTGCTTCTGGCCTGAAAAGAAACCAACATTACTTAAAGAACGTATTCATGTAACCAAATGCCACCTGTTCTTCCAAAACCTATGGAAATAATTAAAAAAAAAAAAAAAAAAGAGAGTAAGCAGCAACAACAGCAAAATAAATAAATTAATTAAAAAATAATAAAAAAAAGAAACCCACATTACCGAATGCTTGCGAAGTGCCAGGAGCCACCCTAAAAACAGTGGTGTGGGGTGCAGCCATTGTCATCTGTAGATTCAGACGGGGAGCCGGGGCTGCAGTGCAAGTGCTCTGGTGGTGCGGCCGGTTGGTGGCAGAGCCGGCCTCTGGGTGTGTTGCCGGGAGGAACAGAGGGGACCCTGGTGGATCGATAGCTGTGGGGAGAGAGAGGAAGGCTGAGGACGGAAGGACTGTAAAGTTAAATTGCTTTTAGAGGCGCTGGGTGTCTGCACAGATGGTTCCCTCATCAGCCCAAGGTGCTTGTAAATTGTCACCTCTGCCTCTCACAGCCTCAGAGAAGGAGAGAGTGTCTGGCTTCCCCACCCTGGCGTTTCTGCATCCTGAGAAACTCACTGCCTGTGGAAGCTCCAGGCCCCTCCCACCTTGTCAGACACAGGTTCTGCTGGAAGGAGCCTCCAGCCTCTGGCTTTGCAGCCGAAGCTCAGAATTGCCCGTGGGGGACCAGAAGGTAAGAACAGACCTGGGCTGTAACTTCCACAGTGCCTCCTGCTGGCTGGGGAGCGGGGACATGTCATGTGCCACTATGAGCCTCAGTTTCCTCATCTGTCCAATAGGTATGCTAAGCCTCTCAGGCCTGCCCCAGCCTTGCAGAGGGGGTGGGAGAGCAGGATTTCCCATCTCAGACCTCAGAGACAAATGTGGCTGCCAAACATAGCCTGACTCAGTGCAGGCAGCCCTGGGCCCCGTCGGGCCGGCCCTGTGAGGGAGGGCGGTGTAGGGGCACCCAGCTGCCTACGTCCTCTGGGAGGGAGGCTCCTGGTGCCAGGAAAGAGCATGGACTCCAGGTCTAATTGGCTTTCTCTGCCCAGCTGTGGGACCTTGGGCGAGCCACACAATTCTCGGAGCCCCTATTTCTGCAGGGCTCCTGCTAAGTCACCAGGATGCCTGTTTTCTGGTGTCCGGGGTGGGGGACCACCCCCAGTATCTCTTTTTGGATCAATTTCTGGAACATTCCCGGTCTTCGAAGGCCTTTCCAGGCCCTTAGCCACTGCTCCTGCTGTGTGCTCACAGCCTAAGTGGGAGTAGGGGGTGGGCTCTTACTGGATCTAAAGGAGCTGTCTTCGGGGAAGGATGTGAAGTCAGGGGCGCAGGCTTCTCACTCTCTGGTCCAGCTTCCCAGGAGCCAGAGGCCAGAGCCCCAGACCAAGAGGCCTCGACTCCTCAGCCTCTTCTCCCCCGCTGCCTGGGCCACCTCCTCCCCCACTGCCTGGGCCTCCTCCCCCCCAGTCCCCTTGGCCATTTACTCTTCATCAGCTCCACCATTCTTCTCTTCTAAGCGGCAGCAAGCAGAGCTGAAGTCTAGCTGTACATCAATCACACCAACAGTAACCATAATGCAGTCGGTTTGCCCCTGAACCCGCAGTCCTGTCTGCTCGGGGCTTACCTGTGTCGCTTCACCCTTTGGGTGGGTCACCAGCTCACCGATGCCCCTCACTGTCTCGAATGCCAGCTCAGGGCTGTGTAGAGAGCCTGGGCCCCAGTGTCAGACAGACCTGGGCTCAGATGCAAGTTCCACCACCTTTCACAGTGGCCCTGGCTTTGACCTCCCCATGCCAGGCCTCAGTTTCTTCATTGGTCAAGACTGAAGCCTGGTGATGGTCTGCTGGGTGTTACTTCTAGGCTCAGCAGGGCGTATGACTCACACATCGAGGAGAGCGCGGGGCATGTGACCCATCTGCCCATTACAGAGCTCGGCTGTGCGTCCTCGCTCCTGCCCTTAGGGAACTGACTCCTGGGTTCAAGGAGGCAAAACCCAAAACACAACTGATAATGAAGTGATAATGCAGATCGGTTGGTAGACACACAAGGCGGTTCAAACTCTCCCCTATCCCCAAGGCGCTCACGGCCAGGCATGGGAGATAGGTAACAGCATCTTTAATAAAATTAGGGTCACAACATCTTTAATAAATACTAAGGATAATCTATTGAGTAATTATTGCCGGCTAGGAACTTTAAAGAAATTTATATGGATTTTATTTTAATTCTCACAAACCCTGAGAAGAAAGATGTTATTATCTTTAAGTTACCGGTAGGAACGGAGGCTCAGAGAGGTAAGGTCTCTGGCCCAGGTTCACACAGCAGAGCACAGAGAAGATGGAACTGAGCTTTGAGCCCCGATCTGCCTGATATGGAGGGGCCATGCTCTTACTTTGTCTGCTCTATCCCTCTGTGCACAAGTCTATGATCTTCCAAACGCCATTTCTGTGCCAAACCAGGCGCTGTTTCTGCATTAATACCCATCCTGATTACTGCAGTTTTGGTTGCAAGTGTCAGAAAATCCAATTTAAAGGACTTAAATAATAAAGAGAATTCACTGACTCACATAACTGAAAAAGGGGTAGTAGTTCCTGCTTCAGGCAAGGACTGATCCAGCTGCTAATGCATTGATTGGTATGAATAGGACCAGTGAGTTTTCTTCTTCTCCATTCTACTTTTTAAAAATTCTTCTTCTTCTTCTTAATTCAGCTCTATTCTTATTAAGCTCTACTTCCACAGTGTCAGAATCATTCACAGCAGGCACGCCCTCCTGCCTCCAAGAGAGTCACCAGCAGCTTCCTCCTCCACAGCTGTGAGTAAATGAGAGGGTCCACTCCACCCAATAGCTCAAATCCCAGTTTCAGGATTTGATCTGTGGCTGATCAGTCGAGGGACACAGGCCCATTCCTGAGCCCATCGCTGTGGCTGGAGAGATGGGAGACACCGATTGGTCTAAGCCAGTCAAGCCCTCTCAAGGCCAAATCGCGTGGGCAAGAAATTTAAGACAAGGAGAAGAAGAAGAAAGAGAAAAGAGAATGTCAAGGAGACAAATGGCAAATGGATACCCACTCCGTCCCTCCTACAAGGGAGATATATTCCCCCCATTTCATGGAGGAGGAAACTGATGATCAGAGCGGCCAGGAAACAGGACGGTACCCTCCTGTACGTAGGCACAGGCCAAACGAGGTGCCCACAGTCTTAATACTTCTTTCCCCAACCCACAGTTGTACCTCACTCTAGAAACCAAAGGATACAAATGGAGACCAGGCTCATTTTTGCCCCTCAAACTGGCGAAGGTGAATAAAAGCATGTCTCTTGATGCTGGGGAGTGTGGAGTCGGGGAGGTTGTTTACTCCTGCCTGGTAATGTAGACATTACCATGAGCTTCCTGGAAGCAAGAGCTTCTATATTGTATTTAGAGCCTTGAGCATTTTGTACCCTTTGACTTCCAGAAATTTTGCTTCCAGGAGTTCACGTGGCAATGATGGGAGATATGGACTTGAATGATACCTAAAGCTGTCCGCGGCTGTGTTACTTTTAGCGGGGAAAATTGGCACCTCTATGATCTTGATCTTTTACACTTACTTGTCATTAGTATCCATCTCAGTCCACCAACTGCCATGTGTGAGAAAAATGCAGCCCTCTTTTTTCTAGAACTGAGTTTTTTTGTTGTTTTTTGTTTTTGAGACGGAGGTTTTTGCTCTTGTTGCCCAGGCTGGAGTGCAATGGTGCGATCTCGGCTCACCGCAACCTCCGCCTCCTGGGTTCAAGCAATTCTCCTGCCTCAGCCTCCTGAGTAGCTGGGATTACAGGTGCGCGCCACCACGCCCAGCTAATTTTTGTATTTTTGGTAGAGACGGGGTTTCACCATGTTGACCAGGATGGTCTCGATCTCTTGACCTTGTGATCCGCCTGCCTCGGCCTCCCAAAGTGCTGGGATTATAGGTGTGAGCCACCGTGCCCGGCCGCTAGAACCGAGTTTTAATTTTTATTTCAAGACTCCAAGATGATCAATGGACAAAAACCTAATCCCCGTCAGCTCAGGGGCCCCACCGCGTTTCCCTTGTGGATTGCACCTTGCACTGGCAGCTATGAGGGTCTCGGTGTGGTGTGTTGTCAGTTTTCGATCCGTTTGGTCACCACCTGTGCCCCCCTATTCCTGATCCTACGGGCTCCTCTGGCCCCACAGCTCTCTGTGTATGGAGACATTCTCCATCCAAGACCGGGATGTGGGAATGAGGCAGCGGGTCAGGCCCTCTGCTTGGACCCCACAGGGAGTCAGACAGTCATTTCTTCTGCTCACGCTGTGCTGATGCAGGGACTTTGGGGTCTTGTTGCTTCCTTTGGGAAAGGCAGCTTAGACCTCCTCTGTCTCAGATCCCACACTTTCATGGAGGTTTGGGGGTTCCTTAGCTGGTCTGGGGGTAATAACCATTGCTTTTACACTAACCTCCTGATTTCTTCCACATCTTCTCCCTTCATCAGAAGCAAGGCAGTTAGCACAGACTGCCCCAGCTGCCTGGACATTTTGCGGGTAGGGTTGTGCATGAAGAAGACTCTGGAGGAACCTTGGTTAGAATCCCAAATAGAGTCCAGGTGTGATGGCTCACGCCTATAATCCCAGCACTTTAAGAGGCTAAGGCAGGCGGATCACCTGAGGTTGGAAGTTTGAGACCAGCCTGACCAACATGGAGAAACTCTGTCTCTACTAAAAATACAAAAATTAGCTGGGCATGGTGGCACGTGCCTGTAATCCCAGCTACTCAGGAGGCTGAGGCAGGAGAATCACTTGAACGCGGGAGGCGGAGGTTGCGGTGAGCTGAGATGGCGCCACTGCACTCTAGGCTGGGCAATATGATCAAACTATGTCTCAAAAAAAAAAAAAAAAAAATTCTCCTACCTCAGCCTCCTGAGTAGCTGGAATTACATGCCTGTGCTACCACATCTGGCTGATTTTTTTTACTTTTAGTAGAGATGGCGTTTCGCCATGTTAGCCAGGCTGGTTTCGAACTCCTGGCCTCAAATAATCCTCCCACCTCAGCCTCCCAAAGGGCTGGGATTACAGATGTGAGCCACCACACCTGGCCCTTCAAAGCTTTTTTAATCCTCCAAGCTTGTAGAATCTTCCATGCGGGGGCAGTGATACTCTCTTGAGCTTGTCAGGGAGCTGGGCTTTAGGAGATGTTCAGCTGGTGCTCCCAGCCCACTCTGCACCTGCAGATGCCTGGTGGCTGGTGGTGTGACCTGACCCACAGATGGCCAGCTGGTGGCTCTTGGTGGGCCCTGGGATATCTGCAGAAGACTCCTTGTAAGCCTGCCTGGCAGGCAGCACCAAAGGCGCATCACCCTAGAGACTTGTTTCCTGGAGTATATCTCTCTGTTGGAGTCCCCCACTCCAAAGGTAGACCCCAAGACAGGGCTTGGTACAGGTAGTTTATGTGGGGTTTGATTCTGGGGACCAGGGGAAGAGAATAGAGAAGGACGCACATGTCACAGTTAGCTTCGGTGTGGGGGGCAGGGCTCCATCTTGCTGGAACATTCTGAGAAGCCTTAGGAAATGCATCTCTGAACTGTCTACCTGGGGGATGGAGGGAGAAACATTTGCCCGTCAGACTCTGTCCCTGCCAGCAGAGGTGGCCCTGTGGGTGTTAAGTCCCCTGCACATCTGGGCTGTGCCTGTGTGAGCCCCTCCGCTGTTTCAGAGAAGGGGCTCCAAATGATATGGGGTGACCCTTGCAAGATGTCACTGGAAGTCTGTGTAGAACTGGTCCCTGCAGCAGTGGCCAGAGAAGGTGTGGCAGGGGCAGTGAAAGGTTCGCAGAGGGATAGAATCCCCCGGTGTCCCCTACTTTTTTTCTGTGTCCTGACTGAAAATCATAGAGCGCCTTGACCCAGGGCCTGTGACCCAGCCAGCTCCAAGTATTTTCACAGCAGGTTTGAACCCAAATTAGGGCTTTGAACATTTCTAGGCACTG